TTTTATCCAGCATTGGACGTCTTATGGCTGATGATGTTCATGATGATAATAATGACGAGCAGATCACAAATATATCACCATTATGATAGGCAATAAACGCCCTTCATGACCCATACGACACCAGAGGAATTACAATTGAGTCGGACTGGCTTTTAAGGTAAGGCTTCCTCTGGAAACCTCAGTTACACACTAAATTTTCAGGTCATGGTTTGCTGTTTGTTCTCAGTGTATGGCAGTAAGGTTGTCCTTGCCCTATTACACAGAATTTACCTATTAGATTGCTCAATGGTGACTAAAATTACATATCTACCTGTCCACATCATGCCTGCCTCTTCGGTTTCGGGTATAATTAAACTATAATTCGTACTTATTAAGTAACAATAAATACAAGAAAAAATAATTAAAAGCAATATGAATAAAGATAAATCGAACATTGCAACAAAAGTTCCGATATCGGACTATTCGTGGAAATCAGAAATGAATATTTTATTAAAGAAAATATTCGAACGGATGGTATCCGTTGACAAAGAGAGGGCAAGTTTGGATTACATTTTTTAAATATTTCATATCGTATTCCGAATTGTGGATTTTATTGGGAACTGTATAAAGTTAATATTTCCGTAATCAGGCTAGGCACGTTAATCACGTTAGGCTAGCGTCAATCAATGTGAGAACAATGGCGGACGTTCGAATTTTAAATATCTTTTTGTTTTTCTAGAAACTACAGATTGTTATTTTTAGATGGCCAAGTAGATAGCTTGTATTTCAGCGTTCATCCTTTTTGGCTTGTTAACCTATTTGTTACAGATCTCGCTACTGAAGATTAATAAAAATAGAAGTATCCATAAAAATTTGATAATTAAGGAGTGTAAAGGTCAGATAATAGATAATATCCATTCCATGGAAAATACTGATATTTACCCCGTTAACCGAATGTCGTTAACTCTGAGTACTAAATCGAAAATATGTACTTGGAAAACGTTACAAATGTATTTATTACACAGTTTTTAACAGATACCTCTGAGTTATTAATACAAGAAGTGTAGATACCTTTTTTTTTTTTTTTTGTTGACGGGGGGAAACCTTCCAAAGGCGCCTAGCTTTTTGGGGAAAAAAGACTAGGGAGTGTGGGATTTTTACCTCACTAAAACCTCCCCGGTGGCCACCATCCGCACTTGAAGGGGGCATCGGGTCCTCTTAGTAGACCAACTCCGGTGCCCTCATAGTGCAACGCCTGTTACGGAAGTGTAGATACCTATCTATACACAATAATTATAACAAACCTACGCTTAGTGAATTGTAAATTGTTTTGATCTTTTTTACATCACAATAACCACTAAAACCAGTGGGCTTTTTTACTATATTCCTGATACCTAATTGTTGACTCACTCATTCGCTAAAACCTATTACAATTAAACGTAGTAGTAGTTAGTTAGTACCTACCTATACTTATATGTATATTTTCTTAGATAACATTGTTATCTAAACAGTTGCAAGAACTTTATCAATATAAATATACTTAGGTACCTATTATATAAGGTCATAGCTTGACAATTGTTAGTACCTACAGACAGCTGGTTAACACAAGACGCTGTGATTTTATTTTATGTTATGAGCCGGTAAATGATCTTGCAGATCACCTGATGGTAAGCAATCGGTGTCGCCCATAGACACCCGGAACACGAGAGGCGTCACTAGTGGTTGACCAGCTTTTAGGGATTTTAGGGATTAATTTGATGATTCTTAGGGATTCAGGTATTGGGGTGATTGAGGAGGGAGGGAGGGTAATTGGGCCTCCGGTAACCTCACTCCTATGACTAGCGTTGTTTCCTGTCAATTTATTGTTTGTAGATTTTTTACTTAACACAATAAAGTATGAATAATTTTTATTTTAATGTCTCACTGATAGATTATTTTAAAATATTAGAATCATATTTTATTTTGTTGTATAAGAAAGCAATACTTATATAAAACTAATCAATTTTTAGGAGACAGAGCTAGCTATGTCATTTCTAACTATTTATAAAACGTATTTACATAGAAGTGACGTCACGCGATATTTCAAATCAATAATGCGTCGAAAATATTGGTTTCTGTCAGAAAATAAAAAATATGTGTCTTATATTTTAAAATAATTTACCGGGCGGATATGACAATAAAAAATAGTCATCTACTTTATTCCGTAAGGCTAAAAATCAACAAGTAAAAAATGACAGTTTCTTGTACGGGTCATCTGTGATAATATTTGTCAAACTATGACTAATGAATGTAAGAGGTAGGTAATTATATATAGTTATTTGTTCGAAATTATTAAACTGTTCAGATAACAATGTTATTGTTTATTTAGATAATATTGCTATCTCGTAGGACTTAAAACGCCGGCGGAAGATACTGATAATAATGCGTACGTTATGTATGATAAACAAATAGACGATAATAATAATAAATACGTACAAAATTGCATTCAAACTAAACGTATAAGTTACAATTACGTTTTGTTTGAAGCCTTGTTTGCACTGGGCTAGTAATTTAGTCGAGTAGCGAGTATTTAGTAGTTCTGTTTCGCGCCTGTCCCGAAATCAAAGGGATAGAGAACTACTAAATAATACTCACTACTCGACCAAATTACTTACTAGTATAGTGCGAACAAGGCATTATGTAGGTAATTTTTGAAAATAGTTAACGATTATTGTTCGAGGGTACTCGATTAATTTTACGTTATGACCACCATACTAAAACCAAAACTATGACACCTGTTGTATGGACTTTCTATCAAAAATCGATTCTTATCCACCAGATTTTGGACGGAATGGTGCGGTGGCTGGGCAATCAGCAGCCGCGCAACGTGTAACAGTTCGATTCACACACGGGGCAACTCTGTGTAATCCACAAATTGTTGTGGTTTCGGGTCCAGGTGTGTATGTGAAATCATATGTTTGTAAACGCATCGACGACATAGGAGAAAATCCTAGTGTGAATATCAGTTATTAATTTCGGCCGAAAATGTATTTTGATAAATATAAAACGTAATCATTACTTTAGGGACGCTCTCATTTACATTTTTGAAAAGACTTCAGCAGGTATAACAGACTCACTTTTCACTTTATTGGTCAATTGTAAATTGTAATAAGGAGCAAACCAATTACCCGATATCGGCCACAATTATTATTCCAAACTCCAAAGTTACTATTAAACATTGGCTATATCCACAATCGAACCTATATATATAGACAATAGATTTATAATCATATACGGGTATGAGCGTAACCTATCAGTTACGCTCAATGGCCTCTAAACTAACCAATACAGTTTTTTTTTATTCAAATTTGTTAAGAAAACTCAATGTTATGCATAATTAAAATTCATGAGACCCGTGTTAAACGTTTTCACGTCATTTGAAACTAATATCGCTGAAATATTTGGTATATATACCTCTATATATGCATATATAATTCATCTGTGAGTGTGTATGTCTCTGAACTTCTCTCAAACGACTGGGCCGATTTTGATGAAATTTTTTGTGTGTGTTCAAGGGGATCTGGGAATGATTTAGATTCACAAATCAGCCCGGCAGATGGCGCTGCAGTCGATGTTTAGGTTATTTTATCCTAAACAGCTGAACTAATTTGAATGAATTTTTGTTTATACATTCAAGTGGATATGCAGGACAACGTCTGTTGGGTCCGCTAGTATATATATATATCGCTGTTATAGAGTTGTACCATGTAGGTATTTGTTGTTCTTTGTCTATCATCTTACAGCATAATAGGGTAGTAGACAGTGTATGAAAATTAAAAATGTAATTAGTCCGTCAGTTAGATAAGGAAAAAGTATTAGACACGTATTTTTTATTTGGTCGTATAAGAAAACAATACTTAGATAAAACGGAGTTAAGTTTAGGAGTGGGAGGTGGTTACGTCACGCTAACCTATAAACTGTAGTAAATCGTGACGTCACACGATATTTCAAATCAATATATCGTCGGAAGTATTTAAACTGTCAAACACCAAGCGGTCACCGGTGACCGCAACCTATTGTTCTATAATTGTGTCTACAAAACCGGTACTCGACGAGTTAATTTTGTAAGAAAATAAAAAATACGTGTATAATGTTTTAAAATAAACTACCAGACGGATATCAAAATATAATTTAGGATACTACCCTATTATGCTACAATAATGTTATAGAAGATTTGTCGGTATTTGTTGATTTCTGTCTACCATATTACATATTACATTACATATACCATATTAAAGTTTTTGCTGGCTAAACTGCCACTATATTTCGATAAAATTCCTTTGGAAAATACGTCAAATTATACGGCAATTAGACTAACAAAAACTTTAAATTATAATCATAGACACTGAAATAGGAACAAGTTAAATAATCTTTAAAAAATACGAACATTAAGTGTCAGTAACTAATCCTACTACTATTATAGATACTAGTTTGTATGTTTGTTTGTTTTTACTTCTGCACATCAAAACAGATGAAGGGATCCGCATGAAATTCGGAACAGGGGTAGACTGTAGTCTGTAATAAGATATAGGCTTTTTACCCCCACGGAAATGCGAGCGAAATCATTGGCAGAAGCAAATATAATATAATATAATCTTCAGATACTAGAAATTACCTAGGTATACCATACTACCATACGTAGGTACCAACTATAAAAGAAATTGAAATTCCAAATAAGTAAAACAGTTGAAACCAATCATATTTTAATGTTATACAATACAACACGAAACGGCAAAATATACCGGCTACCAAAACGAATCCGTCGGATCATAAAATACCTACCTATGTACGTTGTAAATTGAAAAAAAGAACACCGCAATCACTATTTCACCGAAGGACAAAAAACATTCACTAGAAGTGACAATATAACATGAAACACATGAGACCACAAAAATTACCATTAAATACTGAATAAACACACTGAAAATTGAAACAAATATAAATAACTTTAAGATACTAATAAAGAAGTTAAAATCACTCACCAAAGGGTAAAAAGATCCAAAAAAATCCAATAAAAATAGCAGAAAATAAACAGAAACCGATAAATAAACTGATTCTAGTTCATTAACTGAGGAACTCGGAACGAGCACTGCGGGCGGAGTTGCGCGCGCGCCGACAGTTGCAAGATGCGGCCGCGTGTGTGTGTGCGCAAACGTTGGCCACGTATGTGTGCGACTGTTCTCGGAAAGCCCCGAGTGTACAACAACCCGAACCAGCTCAATACAAGGAAATTACGCGTCGATTACTTCACTGTCTATTCTGTTTACTTCTTTAATGTTTAAAAACAAAACGAGTAATGTAAACTATACTTAATACCAAATTGAAATTCAAAGGGGGAATGCAATTGCGTCTTGTATTTGATTTAATTTGTTGGTTCAAATGTTGGCGTATCGCTGTCTCTCTCTAACGCCAACACTGTTTATTCATGATGTTTTTTAGTTATTTTTCATGATCAATGAGTCAACTGCATTTGTTTCAGGTTATAATGGCTATTGATAAGATTGTGTAGTTGCACGACCTTGTGTTTCTCTTATCAAGGAAAAATGTATTGACTGAAAATGCTGTATTGTATAGTTTTTCACAATCTACAGCTCTGAATTGTCATTCGTTATCTATAACTAAAATGTATTTTGTTAGATAGATTCTTCATATTAAAGACTAGCTACTTCCGCGCGGTTTCACACGCTCTGCTCAGCTCCTATTGGTCGTAGCGTGATGTTTTATAGCCTATGGCCTTCCTCGATAAATGCGTTATCCAACACAAAAATAATTATTCAAATCAGACTTGTAGTCAAATATAAATAAAGAAAAAAAAAAATTATAGATTCCTGTCGCGAACCCAATATAAACGAAGATTGGACTGAAATACATACTATAAACATATTTGAATTGGAATTAATTAAATTAGAAACGAGTTTTTAACCTATGAAGTAGCTTATGGAGTCTCTTACTCGTTCTTCTCTATAGGAACCTACATTTTGCAACGAGCAAATACTTTCACTAGAGGACTGACCGAGAGACTGACATTTTATTAAATATTTCAATATTTTGTTTTGACGTTCAAAAGTGCATTCTATTTTTAAACACTTCAAGTTCGAGCACATAATTAAAGTTATCAACGAAATTGACAAACAATCTATGACACAATAAAATTAAAATAAAAGTGATGCGACATGCGTTATCGATATTAATTCATCGAATTTTATCGACAGGCGAGCAGTGACCGAGTTGTTTCCGTGTCAGTAAACTGCATTCGCCTAACGATGCCCTAACATTGTTGTAATTACTGCCTTCACTTTTAACCGCGACTGCACTTGTGTATAAGATCTTTTCATCATTGAAGAAGGGCAGATAGAAGTACATGTTGTATACAATTTAACATCCACTTTCTTACCAGTTATGTTACAATATTTAAAATATTTGTCCTGCAGTATTACTTGCTTTTTTTTTTAAGGGGGGAAAATCATCGAATGACTGCTCCCGCTTGGGTGAGGCGGGAGGGAGTGTCAGACTCTTACTGACTAAAAACCATCCCGTTCCTTCTCCTGCACGTCGAGCCGGAGCCCCGGTTACCCGTTAGGTTCTCCAGTATTTACTGGCTACGGGGCCCAAATAGTCAAACTTCCTTGTACGTACTGCTAAGGAGTGGAATTCCGCGGAAGGCCTAACGGCCTAAAGGCTCGGGCTCGAAGAGCAGGAGTAGGAACGGGGTGGATCATAGTCAGTAAGAGTCTGACACTCCATCTCGCCTAACCCAAGGCGGAAGAAGTCATTGGGATGATTCTCCCCAATAAAAAAAAAATAGGCCCGAGTGAAGAGGTTGGTTATGGGACATCGTGCTCCACCGTAGACCGCATCATCGCTTACGCCAGGCAAGTTAATAGTCAAATATGGGCCAGACAAATATATAAAAAATAGCTATATTTTTGCATTGGTGTGTGTCTTGTTAGGTAAAGAATTATTAGTGTGACGTTACTTATACTTTATCGTGTCAAATAAACAGGAAAAAGTTTACGAATTACGAAAAACAAGACCACGATATACTGGTTACAAAACCAGTGTATTTTGATTTGTTGTCGTGTGTACATGCATATCTTCTGCAAGTCGCCTCGTAGTTTTGTTAAACCTAAACTGTCAAACACCGCGAGGACACCGGTGACCGCAACCTATTGTTCTATAATTGTGTCTATAATGACGGTACTCAACGAGTTAAGTAAGTCACACACCAGGATTGTCAAAAAACAGAAAATACTCAAAAATACTGAATTCATCAAAAATAACGGTCTACGCACGTATATATACGCTGCTCATGAGGAAGAGTCCCCATGTGACCCGAAATTAGTAGAGCTTTCCACAGAGTATATACGTGAGTAATTCATTATTTTTAGTTAAATTTCTTAATCCACGATTATGAAAAATCCACAACATTTGTTATACAAATATAGTCTCTAATCATCGGAAATAAGGTCTATAATGGAGTAAGTAGGTATAGAATGGTCACAGGTAATTCAGGATAACTGTTGTATTCAAAAATACAGATTTTATTAACATTTTGGTTTTAAGATTTTATGAATTAACACCTATTGGTAAATATTTATTTGTATCTTTCCTTAAATCCTGACTCAGTTCGCATTTCACAATGAGTAATTACGATACAATATACATAATATGAGTTATTGAGGAAAACATGGAATTTATTTATTGTGTCGAATTTTAATTTCTACGTAACGTAATAAATAATTAAATATTTATTGATTTAAATTATTCTTCTGCATATGTTTTGCATGCTACGAATGGGAATGATGTTGGAAAATCCCAAAGTATGTACGCATTGAGATTTATATTGTTTTCTATGGAAATCAAAAATATAAACATTATAGTTATATTGATTGTACGGTTGGCTCTGTACCTAGACAACCGACTACCACGCAACGTGTATTCTGCTAATAGGGATGACGATAGGGTGTGAAAATTAAAAATCTAATTAGTCCATCAGTGAGGTAATGACAAAATATTAGACACGTATTTTTTATTTTGTCGTATAATAAAATGATACTTAAATTATAAATATAACGAATCAAAGTTTAGGAGTGGGAGGTAGCTATGTCATTTTAGAGTATAAATCGACGCCATGCGATATTTCAAATCAATATAATATATCTTCGAAACTATTCGTTTCTGTAAGAAAATAAAAAAATACGTGTCTAATGATTTTAAATAATCTATGTACCAGACGGACATTTAGTCATCTATCCTATTCCCACACGGAGCAACTCTTTGTGTGATCCACAAATTATTGTTTCGCCCCTTTTTTGAGGGGGAAATCATCCAATGACTTCTCCCGTCTGGGTGAGGCGGGTGAGTGTCAGACTCTTACTGACTAAAAACCACCCCGTTCCTTCTCCTGCACTTCGAGCCGGAATCCTGGCAACCCGATAAGTCCTCTTCGGCTCCCTATATTGTTTCGGACCTGGGTCTGGGCGTCATGTATATGTGAACTTGTATATTTGTAAACGCACCCACGACATAGGAGAAAATGCTATGCATTGTGGGGAACTAAAAAAAAATATCATGCATTTTAATTCCTGAAGAGGTAGGAGTTTCCTACATCTATACTTTGTAAGTTTGTAATAGTCCCTTCTTTTAAGGGGTAAGCCGGTAAACGAGCTGACGTATCACCTGATGGTAAGCAATCGGCACCGCCAACATTAGAGGCGTTACAAATGCGTTATGCGCTAGCCTTTTGGGAATTGGGAATTTGAGGATTGTCGGGGTTTCAGAGATTGGGAAGTCAGGGTAACCTCACTCACACGACGAAACAACGCAAGCGTTATTTCACGTTTTCTGTGACGCCGTGGTATCACTCCGGACGAGCCGGCGCATTCGTGCCTAAGCATGGCTCTCCCACACTTAACTATTCTCTAAGTATGTTCCGAATACCATATATCGTATTTTTTTTTTTTAAGGGGGGAAAATCATCGGTTGACTGCTCCCGCCTGGGTGAGGCGGGAGGGAGTGTCAGACTCTTACTGACTAAAAACCTTCTCCTGCACGTCGAGCCGGAGCCCCGGTTACCCGTTAGGTTCTCCGCGACTCCAAATCGGCATCGGCCGTATTGGGCCCCATCTGTGGTGGTCTGATGGCTCTTTGAGGCGCGCGCGGAACGCGACGCGCCGTACACTCGGGTCTGTTTCTGGTCGGACGGAGAGCCACCCATGCTCGCCGTCCGCAGGCCCGCGCTTACGGTGGCCGGAGATCGTCCCGCGATCCCCGACGCCCGGTGTGTCCTTCGCGATGGCTGGGTTGCGAGGAGGCAGCGCTTCGCTGCCTCACGCGTCCTGCCTTCTCCTTAACTAGCATGACTGCTTCGCAAAAGGAGGAGACGGCATCCCAATCCCCCTCGCTCCGCATCATGGCCTGCACTAGGCCCGGACGCGAGACGTCGCCATCGCCGATCACTTCCCTGAGGGCACGGCGGTGCTCAGCCCACGCAGGGCATTCTCCCACCGTGTGTTCCACCGTTTCCTCAGGGCGGTCCTCGCAGTGATGACACCCGGACGTTTCCTCCCGCCCCATCAGACACAGGTACCTCCCGAAACTCCCATGTCCGGTGAGGACCTGCGTCAGGCGGTAGGTGAGGAACCATATATCGTATAAGGTAGTCTTTTTACCATATACGAGCAACGATTTCGGACCCTGTGCTATTCGATCAATTCACGAATCGAACCATTTCATATTAGTTTTATTATTCAAGTGTAACACTATACAATGCTCATCACAGATAAACTAAATTCTCAGTTAATGTAAAGTTGTTACTGTTTAAAGTTAAATTCAACTATTCTATTGTTTTCAAAAGAATAATTATCTATTGTCAAGTAAAAATAAGGCTTAATTCTATTGATGAGCGAATAATAAATAACATCTTCATATTGTCTTTTAATTTCATAACATGACGTAATGGTATCTAATTATGTCATTACTATATTATTATGTATATCGCATATTATTATACCTACACCGTCACATCTATTTCATTTACGTCCCGAAGTAAAATGGTTCTGACTTGGTAATACAATAGTTTTACAAAGGAATGAAAGTTTAAACAAAAAATAACTGGT